AGAGACACTACATACTGATATACACCTGAACATCAGCAGGAGAGGACTCTTTAAAGTAGAGACACTACCATACTGATATACACCTGAAACATCAGCAGGAGAGGACTCTTTAAAGTAGAGACACCTACATACTGATATACACCTGAACATCAGCAGGAGAGGACTCTTTAAGTAGAGACACTACATACTGATATACACCTGAACATCAGCAGGAGAGGACTCTTTAAAGTAGAGACACTACATACTGATATACACCTGAACATCAGCAGGAGGACTCTTAATATGTTTTGAGGTATATTATAGGGGTATCATCTATGCCGAGAATGCTTGATGCAGGAGAGATGTTGCTTGTCTTGCCAATTATGTAATTGATTACTTTTTATGGTGACATTTATAATGAAGTGTTTTTCTATTTGGTTATTGTTCCGGTTTGAAGCGTTGGTCACACATGATGCATTCACATACCGTCGGAAACTTGAAAATCGAACGTTTCTGGCTGTGATGAATGGCTTGCTGTTGGTGGGGTGTGTGTTATTTGTAAGGCTGTCTAGTTTATTTTTAGTATTTGTTATTATTCATTGTTTCTAACCAATCAGACGCTGAGCTGGTTGATGATGGATCTCTATAAACCCGGAGCACCTCCTCATTTTTAATCTCGGTAAAATCCCCTCTTTCATAAATCACAGTCTGAGGACATAACGGATGTGCAGGAGGACTCCCTTTAATGGATCAGGTTTTAAAGTGGAGTCTGGAACAGAAACCGTGTGAGCCAGCAGCTCCATCTCAGGGTCAAAGGTCACTGAACACCGTTACTACAACCTCCATTTATAACTTTATTTACAGGAATAATAAAAGAGGCACACGCTGATGAAAAACTAACAACCATGCAGTGCTGTGATCAAAAACACACTCTACTTTGGAGGTTTTTATAATATAACTCTACCGTGACGAAGGTTATTCAAGTAAACCAATTTATAACGCTATATAATAATAATAATAATAATAATAATAATTCATTACATTTATTTTAGCGCTTTTCCAGCTCAAAGCGCTTTACATTCAATGTTACAAATATTAGACATGTAACATTGAATACTGTGGACAATACCCACAGTTATAGTGCTAGCTAGGGATGTCCCGATCACCTTTTTTTGCTCCCGATCCGATTCCGATCATTTGATTTTGACAATCTGCCGATACCGATTTTTCCCGATCCGATCTTTATGCAATGCATTAAGAGAAAAAAAAGGAGAAAAGCATTCAAGTTGTCCCTTAAACCCCACGTTCTCCACCACAGATAACGGCTGGTCATCCAACGTGATGAATTCAGCTATCTTGGCTGTTATTTTTTGGGCCTTTTCACTGTTCTGGGGCAGTTTCTCTTTCCTTTTAAAAGTCTCTGAAAGTGTCGGTTGTTTCAGTGCCGTTACCTGAGTGGCCGCTGTGTACTCGTCGTGTTGTTGTTGGTGTTTGTTTCTCAGGTGGCGTATTAGATTGGTCGTGTTGAACGTAGCTCTGTTCTTTCCACCACGCAGAACCTCTGCCTTGCAAACATTGCATCTGGCTGTTACACTGCCTTCGCTTTCAATTTTATAATACTTCCAAACTCCTGACATTTTCTCTGTCCCGACTCCCGAGTCACCAGCTGAACGTAGCCTCTTGTTAGCTTACTGCTACTATTAGACACTGCGCCCACTCTGTTGCCAGATTTGAGAGAAATAAGCAACCAGGTCTATGAAAACAAGCCCAAAAGAAGCAACACATACATGATGTTGTGTAATTTTAAACCAAAACTAAGGCCTCAGGATGACTTGAAGACGTGAACATGGTCATTTTTGTTTTGTAACATTAAAAATAAATAAATAAATAAAAAAAAAAAAAAAAAAAAAAAATCCGATTCCCGATTTTTTTTCTCCCGATTCCGATCTTTTGAAAATCACGTGATCGGCTCCGATCCCCGATCACGTGATGGGATCGGGACATCTCTAGTGCTAGCATTAGCAATGTTAGCGGTGTTGTTTGGAGATAACTGAAGAGGGATGTTTTTAATCGGGTTGTTTGAGGTACTTACAGCAGAAATCAGTTATAGAAGGAGACAGGAATACAGAAGACAAGCAGTGACGGTTCCAGAGTTTCCGTTAGCCGGTAATTACCGGACTATGACCGGTAAAATATGCTGAAATTTAAATCTCTCCGGTCAAAATAATTTCCCCTTAGCGCCACTTATGTGACAGACAAGAAGAGTATGTGACAGACAAGAAGAGTATGTGACAGACAAGAAGAGTATGTGACAGACAAGAAGAGTATGTGACAGACGAGAAGAGTATGTGACAGACGAGAAGAGTATGTGACAGACGAGAAGAGTATGTGACAGACGAGAAGAGTATGTGACAGACGAGAAGAGTATGTGACAGACGAGAAGAGTACGTGACAGACGAGAAGAGTACGTGACAGACGAGAAGAGTACGTGACAGACGAGAAGAGTACGTGACAGACGAGA